TTTGGGGGGGGGGGGCTGGAAGTCTGAGTGAAGTCTTCAGGTGTTTTAATGAAGCTTGAAGTGTGAGTGGAGTCTCCAGGTGTTTTACTTATGGATTTAAGTTTTTGAGAAAGGAATGTATGCATTTATTCTGCTCATTGTTCCGTTTGTTTTTGTACAAAATAGTCATAGGCTGGATGTATGGAGTGTAGTTCAATTGGATGTTAGTGTTTCCTCTTTGGTTCCTGCAAGACTAGTCTATTTACTCTAAAGGGTGTTTGCAATTTACTATTCCATGATTTAGCTCACAATTTACTCTTCCATGATTTAGCTCACAATTTATTCTTGCATGATTTAGCTCACAACTATGTTTAAAACACAATAAAACTAGACGTTTCCTGTTAGCAATACAGATTCTTGACATGTGATGATCAAAGAAGGGAAGATAAAAAATCACTTTGTAAAAGCAATCAGGTTTCATGTACTTATCAAAAAAAAAAAAAGTAATCAGGTTTCGTGTCTTTTTATTTGAAAAGGATATTTTATTCGTAACCTGTGCTTTGAGATAGTTCATTTCAATTGTCCTAAGCCACAAAAAAAGGATAAAAGGGCAAAAAGGCTAGTTTTGTTTTGCAATCCTATTTTTTGCAATAAATTTGCTCATTATTCTCATCTTTGGCTGGCAAATCTTTCCATGTCAGCTGTAATATATCTGTCACCTCAGTTCATGCCGTTCAGACTTAGTTCCCTTGTCCTTATTATGTGTACTATATAAAGTTTAAATTTAGCATCTCTTTTTGATACAGGTAAAATTTTCTCCTGCACTGAGTAGGGAATTTCGTCCTTATAAACCAGATCCAGCTCCATTGTTGCATATTTGTTCAACTTGGGGAGTTCAATCTAATGAAGTGATGATGATTGGGGACAGCCTTAAAGATGATGTGAGTTTCCTCTCAAGCTGACTGCTCCTTTTTCTCTTTCACATCTGCTCTTTTAAATAGGTGATTCAATGCATGTTTCCGAAAGATGACATTTCCCTTCACTTAGCTAGAATAAGTTTCAACTAATTCATATTGGTATTAATTACCATCTTGGTTTGACATAACTTTGTATTTGGTTTATGGGTAGGCAGAATAATGGTCACTTTAAAATAATTGATACTCGAGTTCTTCTTTGTCGATTTCCCTGTTTGATTCGCTTTTACCTTTACTTTATTCCTTGCTGTTCTTAATATACGAGCTTTGGCTCCTACATCTATGTAGTTACTTCTACCCAATTTACTTTCTTGCTCTTGTCATTTAGAGAGTGATGGCTAAAATATCTGCTTTGTGATAAAAAAGAATTATGGGGGTTTGATTACAGGTTGCTTGTGGCAAAAGAGCTGGAGCATTTACTTGCTTGCTCGACGAAACAGGAAGGTATGATGCTCCAGAATATGCAAACATTGAACACCAACCAGACTATAAGGTGTCTTCTCTTGTTGAGGTTCAGTCACTGTTAGAAAGACATTTTGAGCTGACATCTTGATTTCTCAAATCCTTGGAACCCCTACCTGGCTGAGCAGCGAGATATGGTTTACCTTCGTAAGCCTCCACATCATATTCCTGCACGTATGTTTCTTTAGGCTACTGTAAGCTTATAGTAATTGGATGCAGCTTTGCTCAAGTGAGCTGGATCTTTGAGATGACGACTAGTCACTTTTCAATCAGGAAAATTGGGAGGATAAGTTTTTGTTTGCTCTTGCTACAACTGGTGAGTTACAGAGGCGATAGTGTTTTATCGACTAACCAGTTTTGTTGGGGTGAATTAGGCAGGAGTCAGGATAGTCATGAGATCGTAAATGTATTTTGAATGTAGTGTTCTTGTCACCTCTTTGCTTACGACGGAAGCTCTAGCAACTTAGGTAGCACAGCTCTCACTCTCCTTTTTCTTCATCAAATTCGAACTATTTTTTTTGTAGACTGAATTTCTTACGAATTAGTGTACTCGTTAATGTATCCCTAATAAGATAGGGGTAAGATCTACGTATACACTATCCTCTTCATACCCCATTTATGGGACTACATTGGGTTTGTCGTCGTTGTAGTGTACTGGAGAACTCTTGTAAGCCTCTAATGTAATTCCTCAATTTTAGTTTTTGTGTCTTTTATTTGTCATGCCCATCAGTTGTTTTGTGTGTACATATGGAAGCGTGAGCCTCTATCAGCCCTCATTGGTCATTGGCTTCTAGTTTGTGGCCAACAACAACAACCCAGTATAATTACACGTGTGAGGTGTGAGGAGGGTAGTTTGTGGCCAATGACACTCATTTATACGTATGCGTGTAAATTACTTTGCTCTCAAATATTACTCCTACTTTGTTCCCAAATTTTGGACAAATTCAAACTAAGTTAAGTTTGACTAAAATTTTAAATTTATAGTCAGACCTCACCCCTCTATAACATTCATCTCTGTAACAATATTTTATTATAATTGTCAAGTTTTCTTTGGAATTGATCTTTATTGTTATGTTATATTATAGTAAAACACTGTGCATCAAGTGCATGAATGTTATTGGGGCGTTGGTCAGTCCAAATGATATCACAAGGAACTCGTAGTGACCATACCGAGTCCTGAAAATAGTCTTTGGGATACCTGGCTCCTGGATCTTCAACTGATGATAGCTTCAACGCAAGTCAATCTTGGAAAACATCTGGCACCATATAACTGATCAAATAGGGCATCAATACGAGGCAAAAAATACTTGTTCTTCACTGTAACTTTGTTCAACTGGTGATAATCAATACACATGTGCATAAAACCATCGTTCTTCTTCACAAACAAGACTGGAGCACCCCAAGGAGACACACTGGGCCGAATGAATCCTTTGTCAAGAAACTCCTGCAAATGCTCCTTTAACTCTTTCAACTCTAGTGGGGCCATACGATATGGGGGAATAGAGATGGGTTGAGTGCCGGTAACAAATCAATACCAAAGTCGATATCCCTATCAGGCGGCATGCCCGGAATATCTGCTGGAAATAGATCTGGATAATCCCTCATTACCAGGACTAACTCAACGATTGGAGTATCAACACTGACATCTCTCACATAAGCTAGATACGCATCACACCCTTTCTCTACCATTCAATCAACCTTTAGATAAGAAATAACTCTGATATGAGTATAATTTAAGGTACCTCTCCACTCTAACCGTGGTAATCTTGGCATAGCCAGTGTCACGGGCTTGGCGTGGCAATCAAGAATAGGATAATAGGTAGACAACCAATCCATGCCCAAAATAATATCAATATCTACAATACTGAGTAATAATAAATCGGCTCTGGTTTTCAAACCACTAAGAACAATCAAACACGACTGATACACATAGTCAACAACAATAGAATCTCCCTCAAGTGTAGACATATAGACATGAGAACTAAAAGAATAACGGGATACACCCAAATATGAAGAAAAATAAGATGACACATAGGAATAAGTGGATCCTGGATCAAATAACATTGATGTATCTCTATGAGAACAATACCTGTAATGACTGAGTAGGATGCAACTGCCTCTGTTCGAGCAAGAAGAGCATAATATCTGGCATGGCCTCCCCCTCTAGGGCGACCTCTACCTGCCCGACCTCCACCTCGAGCTGGCTGAGCAGGTGGAGTGGTAGTTGGTGCTGTAACCATAGCCTGAGGAATTGGTGGAGCACGCAGAGTCTGAGTAGTCTGTGGAGGTGCACCCCTCCTTAAATATGGGGAAATCCCTCACCATATGACGAGTGTCACCATACCTAAAACAAGCTCTCGGAGGACGTGGCTGCTGTGGCTGACTCGGTCCTGATCGGCTAGACTGATTACTGAAAGCACCCCGTGCAGGAGGTGCGATACATACTGGCGGGCCATGCTAATCTGATACTTTCAAATCAATACCAAAGTCGATATCCATGTCGGGCGGCATGCCCGGAATATCTGATGGAAATACATATTGATAATCCCTCACTACTGGGACTGACTCAATGGTAGGAGTATCAACACTGACATCTACCACATAAGCTAGATACGCATCACACCCCTTCTCAACATTCGATGAGCCTTTAGAAATGAAATAACTCTACTAGGAGTATAACATAAGGTACCTCTCCACTCTAACCGTTGTAATCGTGGCATAGCTAGTGTCACAGTCTTGGAGTGACAATCAAGCATAACATAATATGGTGACAACTAGTCCATACCCAAAATAATATCAAAGTCTACCATACCGAGCAATAATAAATCAGCTCTGGTCTCAAAACCACTAAGAACAACCAAACACGACCGATACACATGGTCAACAAAAATAGAATCTCCCACATGTGTATACACAGAGACATGAGAACTCAGAATCATGAGATACACCCAAATACAGAGCAAAATAAGGCGACACATAGGAATAAGTGGAGTCTGGATCAAATAAGACTGATGCATCTCTATGACAGACCGAAACAATACCTGTAATGACAGAGTCAGATGCAACTGCCTCTGTTCGAGCAGGAAAAACATAATATCTGGCATGGCCTCCCCCTCTAAGGCAACCTCTACTTGCCCGACCTCCACCTCGAGCTGGCTGAGCAGGTGGAGTGGTAGTTGGTGCTGTACCCATAGCCTGAGGACTCGGTGGAGCACGCGGGGCCTGAGTAGTATGTGGAGGTGCACCCGTCGTATGTATGGGTCAATCCCTCACCATATGACGAGTGTCACCATACTTAAAACAACCTCTCGGAGGACATGGCTGATGTGGCTGGCTCGGGCCTGATCAACTGGACTCATCGCTGAAAGCATCTCGTGCAAGAGGTCCGCTACACACTGGTGATGCATAATAGGGAGCCTGGGGCCTAGGAGTGGCCGGAATACCACTGGCGGCTGGAAGTGCTGAATGAACAGAGCGATTCACATAGCCCCAACCATTACGAGTTGCAGCTGGGGCACAATTACCACTGTATGTGCCAGACTCTCGAGACCTCTTGGCCTCTCTCTCCTCCCTATCCCGAGTCATCATACCTACCAATCTCCTAGAAATCCCCACTACCTGCTGGTATGCGATGTCCATCTTCAACTCTCGGGCCATGCTAAATCTGATACTAGGGTTGAGCCCCTCGATAAATCGACGGACCCACTCTCTAACAGTAGCAATCAAGGCTGGTGCATGCCAAGCCAAATCACAACCTGACCGCATACTCCGACACGATCATAGAACCCTGGCGCAACTGCTGAAACTCTGCGCGCCATATGCATCTCTATGACTCTGGGGAACATACTCCCTCAAGAACATATCCGAGAACTGAGTCCAAGTGAGTGAAGCTGTCTCGGTTGGACTACCCAACTCATATGCACGCCACCACTGATATGCTGCTCCCCTAAGCTGGAACGCAAGGAAAGAAACCCCACTACACTCCGCTACACCAATTATTTTCTATAACAATATTTTACTATAACAATCAAAAAATATCTAGACAAACAATATTATTATAGAGAGATTTTATTGTATTATATTTGTCATTTTGATATGAGAAAAACTAACTAGTTACTTTTTATGTAGTTCTAGAGTCCAGACTATCCAAGTTTTAAGAAAAAAAGACGTTATTTTAGTAAAATTGGAATATGAAAAGGTAGGCTCCAGTTCCAGATTGAGTCACGTGAAGGAGGTGGGGAAGATAAAATGGAAATATAAAGAAAACGATTACTCCCAAGTAAATTTATTCACTTTTGGTTTCAACTCTCGAAAGAAAAAGAAGAATAATTTACAAAAAAAAAAGTGAAGCTAATTTCTTAAATAACCACACATGATACTGTTAGAAAAATACTCATAGTAATATCTTTTCACAATAAAAGAAAACTAAGGGTGTGTTTGGTATGACGGAAAATATTTTTCGAAAAATAATTTTTCATTTTTCATGGTTTGGTTGCACAAAATAATTTTTTTCGTTTTTCTACGCCACTCACCCACCCCAACCCTCCTGCCATACACAATTTTTTTTTTTTTCTTTTCAATTTATAGGTTCAAAATTTTGCGAGTTTCAAATTTATGTGTTTGGAAGTTTGCGGGTTTAGAAATTATAGAGTTTACGAGTTTGAAAGTTTGCGGGTTCGAAAGTTTAGCGGTTCAGAAGTTTATGAAATTTGTGGGTTCGAAAGATTGTTGGATCGAAAGTTTATGATTCACGTTTGTTGTATCTAAATTATAATTTATGAATATGAGAAATTATTTTTCTTAATTTACTTGCCAAACACAAAAAAAATAAGTAAGAATACGAGTTGTTTTCCGAGAAAACATTTTACACAAAAAAACATTTTTAATTATACCCGACACAACCTAAATGACATCCAAATATCCCGGTGTTTCCACTATCGTTTGCTACGTGTCAATTACCTATTGGTTAAATTCAACTGCTAGCAGCAAAAGCTCGTTATATATTGGCGCGCTCTTCAGCTTCAAGAAATCAGTTGAAAGAAAAATTTTACTTCCAAGAAACAAAAACAGAGCAAAATATGACTTCAACCATTCATAGCTCCTCCGCCGCCCTCCACCACCCCTCTGCCACCACCGCCGCCGCCTGCAGCTTGAAGAGTGTCTCTCTAAAGAGAAAATCTCCACCACCACCCTCTTCTCCTTCTGATGAACCCTCCCTCAAAAAGATCACTCTCCATCCACCACCGTCCGCCGCCGCCGAAAGGGTACCGGAAAAAACACCATCCCCTGCTTTTTCACCCTTCTCCTCCAAAAGGGTATCTGACAAATCACCATTTTCCATGTGTTCAATTACCCCAACTAATCCGGCCATTTCTCTACTCCCATTTTCAAGATTCACAGCAGCGCAGCCGCATAACAACAGTCTGCGGCGGACACTCTCAGAACCACCCGTTTTTAATTCTTTTACTGCTTATGTTACGTACATGAATTCTCAGTCACCGGAAAATGCTAAGAACAGTAATATCTCTGCCTTTAAATGGCAACGTCCTCTTCGTAGATCAATTTCTGTTCCTACTGATGCAGATATTCTTGCTCCGGCAGCTGTGAACCCGCTTTTACCATCAAATCCATCACTTAATTCTGAAAAGACTACGAAAAGAAAGGTGAAATGCAATGTATTACTTATATATTTTACAATATTATTTATTGTCTCTGTAGTAAAATTCATATTTAATTTTGTTTTTGAATTGATTTTGCAGATTTTAAATCAGTTTCTGAATGAAGGAGATGATACAGAAGACACTTGTCCTGAATATAAGGATGAGAATAACATTAACAATTCTGAGGCCAGTCTTTTATTTATTTGTTTCTTTTTACATTTTTTTCCATGTTTTCTAAACTTTACTATCTTAATACCTATTCTAAAATTATTTTCTTGATTAGGATAAGTTGTTGCATGTCGAGATCAAAGCTTTTCTTGGTTAATTATAGTTCAGAGTTCAATGAGATAATTGCAATTTTGTTTAAACATGAATCTATCATCTAGATTTTACTAATATTTTCTTGTTTCTCAATTTTTTTATTTTTTATTTTTTTGTATTTGGCGAAATGTAACTACTAATATTTAGTTTTGTTTGGATTAAAATTTGCAGGGCTCAAAACAGTTTGTGAATGAAAATGAAAGTGACCATAAGGGGCACAGTACTGCTTCTGATAAAGAAGACTAGTCGGGTTGAAAAGTATCTGTTTAATTTCCTTGAACCAAGAGCGAACTGCTGTTAATAATTAGTACTACCTATTTTTCTGTATATTTTCATTATAGGTGAGAACCTTTGGTATCAAATAGTATTTCGTAACAGCATAAAGACCAGCTATATAATGTAAATGAAGAATATAATTCATATATAATCGTACATGTTAGTTCTAATGAAATGATTGCTCTTCTAATAATTGTTTAATTAATATCATCTTATAGTAGTTTGTATAGTGTTCCTATTTCTTGTTTTATATAAATGTGATGCATGTGTGGACGACACAGAGGTCATCTATTGCATCAAATAATGAAGTACGTTAATTAGGACTTCCATAACATCTCTTAAGTTGCATTTATATGAATGATTTTTTTTTCATGATAGTCTGACTTATTACCTAGAAAATTGTAGTAAATAAGAATGGAAAAATAAAAATAATAATACTGCTATATTATTTATAAGAGGATACACAAATTGACTTGAGGATAGAGTTTCTTATCATTCATACTATTCCTATTAATTATTGAGGATAGAGTTCTCCCTTTATTCTTGCTTCAATTTTTACGAGGAAGTTGTCCCCTCTCAATTGTGTATACAAATTTTTTATTAGATTAAACTATAAGTAACATAGAGAAAACGTGCTTAATTATAAAACGGTGTTCGTGTCTATTCTCAATTTAAAAAATAAAAAATTCCATTGTTGTGCTTATTAAACAAAGGTATCATATCATACCCTAGTGTGCAGCAATAACAGTGCTTTTGACAGGAGAGTAATTGAAGTTTCAATCGTACGTGAAGAGCACGTTTGCAAAAAAAGCGTTTGATAACGATGAGATTAATTAGTGAAATTAATTAATGTTTCACAATCAAGAACATGCTAAGCCAGGCCAGTGGTCACATATCAGATATCGAATTCCTCTTCCTTTGATTGCTTACTACTATTTGTTACTCCCTTAAATCACAATAAGTGACCAATTTGTTTGGTCACACCATTAAGAAAATACAAAATTCTAGGCAAAAATAGTTGGTGTGATTAAACTACCCTTAATTAAATGTTGCAACATAGTTAATGTAAGGAGTAAAATACTTTTTACGGATACATACATAAGGGTAATTTTGGAAAAACAAATTGAATTTTTCTTGATTATATAAATTGATACTTATTTTGGACCAAAATAAAAAAAGTAAAGTGGTCACCTATTGTGGACCGGAGGGAGTACTAATAAGATAATTTGGTGAAATATCAAGCTTCTTTTTTCTTTTTCTTTTTCTTTTCTTTTTTATATATAAATGAATATGTATGGCTGGTCTTCCCTAAGAAATCCAGGAGCAATAATTAGTTGCCGGTGCAAGAGGAATCGTAAGGAATAACGAAGGGGATGATTTATTTGCTTATTTTGTTTTTGTTTACGTAGTTTTTAGGTTGGAAGTAGTAATAATATTAAACTAATATAATAACATAGAGAAGACGTGCATATAAGGGGGTATTCATGTCTAAGCTTATAGGATCTCATCATATTCAGTCTTAGTGTTTCTCATACTTCATATTAATGTATTTATAGAGTCTCCTTCATTAAATTTTACAAGGAAGTCTCCTCTCAATTATATAAACAATTTTTTGATTGATAAATGTATCTCATCTATGTAGTTTCTATGAGTTCGAGTTAGTAACTATATTAAGCTCATACAATAATAATTAATATAGAGAAAACGTGTAATTATTGCAAAGTTGATATAAGAGGGTATTCACTATTCACGTCTACTCTCAACTCTCAATTTAAAAGTTAGTATTCCATTATTTTGCTTAAACAAAGGTTTCATACCTTAGTAGTCGATTAATTAGAGATATAGCAACACGTTTGCGAGAACTAGAAGAGCGTTTGATGAGATTAGTGAAATTAATTAGTCTCAGAATGAAGAATATACCACCCATATTAAGCCAGATGTCCAAGTCTACTTTCGTCAGTAGTACTACAGTATATTTTGTTTTTATTCTTTCGCACCCCTAGATCCCAAGTCTCTCTGTAAACCACACGCTATTTCCACAAATTAGGAATACTAAAATCCACAGCTCCATATTTTTTATTACAAAAAAAGAAGAAGAAATAATGCAGTTACACACACTCTCTCTTTGATTATTTTAAGTTGATATGCGCGATTATCAAAGGTGAATGTATGAAAATGCAACTAGTATAGTATTAGCCAAAAAAAAAAAAACTTGTATATTTATTCAAAAATGGATACAAGATTTAAAGGACATAATATAAATTTAATTGAGAGTGTCAAAATATAAAAATAAATAAAAGCACACACACAGAAAAAAGTGGGAGTCAACACACACACATATTTTGACTTAGCTAAACAATATAGTTTTATGACATATCTTGGCATAAGGCGGCTCCACCACTGGTCATAAGTGGTTCATTATTTATTGATAATATAGGGTATACTATTTGATTAGTTTGCTAGTTAATTTCGTCTTGTACTATTGATTAATTGTGTATAAATAACTAAATAGATTAGTATAAGTATTCACACGATATACGAATATTGTTTATATACGGTCGAAATAGATTTTGACCTTCGCACGCAGACCGAGTTCGAACGATGATCTATAGAAGTAAGATTCCGAAGGTAGAACAAACTAACTTCGAACACGGGGAGAAGGGGGGGGGAGAGGGATCCGTGTCGAGTTCGATATCATTATCAAGCTCGAATCCAAATCGAACCATGATGCAGAGTAGATCTATCATGTTTATAATCCAGAAACCAACCAACATTGACCTCGAATCAATTCGAGGGCTCGAGCTAGGATCGGGCTCGAACCAAGATCAAGAGTTCGAGTCGAAATCAAGCTCAAACCAAAATCGAGGGCTCTAAGCAAGATCTAGCTCGCAGACATAAGCCGTTGCAATCCCACTAGAGAGAATCTTGGCAGAAATTGTGGAAAAGCTGATTTATCATGGGTCTCCCACTGAATGTTTATTTTATTATGCTTAGAGCCAAATCCCTCCACTATAAAAGGGCTTGGTTACCATTTCTGTAGGACAGGTTTTTCTCAGGCTTACATTGTAATAAAAACGCTATATTCTTCTACAGTAAAGAATCGTTCTTTCAGATTTCTTAAATTGATTCTATTTGTTGAGTCCTAAGATTCATTGTTCCTTACAACCTTATCTATTTCGTATTCTCTGCAATCCATATTTACATTTCTACTTATCCTTACAATTTGTGTTAAGTTACGCCACATATCCTCGGAACTACGTATAAATTCAACTCTATCCATTTTTCGGGTAAACAGTTTGGCGCCCACCGTGGGACCGAGGATAACGGTGGTAATTTGATACAAATCTGAAAAACACGCCATTGTGCTTTGCGCTTATTTCCGAAAATATCTTGAATTTCGGATCAACTATGAATAACCATCAATCAAATGGCTTCACCGATCAATAACGGGGCCGGTCTTCAAGACGAAAATAACAACTTGACACCCAGTACAGAAAAATCACTTGTGAACACTGTTGGAGCTCGAATCGGAGCGCCAATTGATATCAATTCGCATGTAGCCATTGAGGCGAACCTACATGCTGAACTCGAGAATAACATCCATGGTGAAACTCGGTCTGCGGTTCGAGATACTTATAACATCGACGAAAACGGTGTTAGCTTGCGTATGATTTTCGAAATATTGCAAGCCCAACAGGCAGCAATAGCCCAGTTGCAAAGCTAAACCCAGCTACAAAGCAGGCCGGAGCCCAATCCACCCCGAGAAATCACCCACAGAACGGAACCAGCCATAGTGAGGTTAAATGAGCAAGAATCGGGGACTACTCCCAAAATTTCTAAATTGCTCGAGGAACTCACAATGCGAGTCGAAGCCAACGATACAAAAGTAGAAACTTATAATTCTAGGGTCGATCAGATCTCGGGAGCTCCACCTATGATAAAAGGGTTGGATTCGAAAAATTTCATACAAAAGCCTTTTCCCTCGAGTGCGGCCCCAAAACCAATCCCCAAAAAATTTCGTATGCCCGAAATTACCAAATATAACGGTACGACCGATCCTAACGAACACGTCACCTCTTACACATGCGCCATCAAGGGTAATGATTTGGAGGACGATAAGATAGAATCCGTGTTGTTGAAAAAGTTCGGGGAGACCCTCTCGAAGGGAGCAATGATCTGGTATCACAATCTAGTGCCAAATTCCATCGATTCTTTTGCCATGTTAGCAGATTCGTTCGTAAAGGCACATGCTGGTACCATAAAGGTTGCAACAAGGAAATCAGACCTCATCAAAGTAAAGCAAATGGGTAATGAAATTCTAAGGGAATTCGTATCCCGATTTCAAATGGAACGCATGGACCTGCCACCGGTCACAGACGATTGGGCCGTAAAAGCTTTCACCTAAGGGTTGAACGAGCAAAGTTCGACAGCATCACGTCGGCTGAAGCGAAATTAGATCGAGTATCCAGCAATAACTTGGGCAGATATACACAACCGATATCAATCAAAAATTAGGGTCGAAGATGACCAGTTGGGAGCTCCGTATGGACCCGTGCATCAGAACATGACAACTACTAAAAACCAAAGGGAGATCGACAGAGAACAAAGGTCGAACAGAGACTGATATCAACCGTACGTCACAAATCGGATGAATAACGGTTCAACATACAATACAATTCGGAACAATCGAAGGATCGATCGAGGGCAAAATTCTCGGGGATTTATGAGCAAGAGCGGCTTTGATAAATATGCCGATCCTATAGAAGCACCTCGGTTATCAGAGTATAACTTCAGCGTTGATGCATCCGCCATCGTGTCGGCTATCGGACGCATCAAAGATACTAAATGGCTTAGACCCATACAGACCGATCCTGCCCAAAGGAATCCCAATCAAATGTGCGAATATCATGGCACCCATGGCCACAGAACGGAAGATTGCAGGCAACTAAGAGAGGGAGTAGCCCGCTTAT